GAAAAAAACCCCACCAAAATCACTGGTTACAAAAGGCAAATGGTTCAGTTAGACAGTTTGTTTCTTTCAATTACTTACAGTAATAGCAGGAACAGGGAAAGTCAAGAAAAAAGCAAAAGAGGGTTAGAAAGAATGTGGGGATTTGGATGGAGTTTCTGCAGAGCCAGGAAAAGAAACACATTTATGGGAAGTCTTTGGATTAGGCTGAGGAAGGAGAGGGGAAGAAGGAAAAGGGACATGTTATAACCCAGTCGCCTCACGGCTTCGGACTCGACATCATGACTACGGATCTGCAAGTAAAAACCTCTCCCATTGCTATGGGGAATGGAGCCAAGGAGTTTTTACTTTCTACTTACCCCAGAAAACACCCTTTAACCCAGGGGCTGTGCTGATTTTAGACTATTTGATCCAATGACAGCCCTTTAGGAACCTTTCCTATGCGACACCCAGGTGGTGCTGGCTGATGCTCTGTCTATGGAAACCAAGCAGCTCGAGCTGAACCACAGAGGAACAAAAGCCATTCCCTCCTCTCCTTGTCCAGGGAAGCACCCCTGCATTCCCTGCTGGCACCTCCCACTGGGCATGCAGCCACATGCCAGGGCATGCCACGCTCATGCAGCTCTCGCCCCCAAAGCCACGGAAGCTGCACGTGGCCATTGCCCTGGGAACGGGGAGCGAGCTGGATGCTGCCTTACCAGGTGTAAGGCAAGTCAGAACTCACGTTCTGAAAGGATGCAGGAATTCAGGCGCCGTGTGCCCTCCCTTCCTCCTTCCAGCACGGGATTTGGATGTGCTGGGAGAACCTCTCAGCCACAGGCTCCGCAGCAAACCCTGTGCTGGGCACCCCCGATGCCACTGTTTTGGTGGAAACAGAGATTTCACGGGTGCAACGTTCCTTTTCCTGCTCTCTAGCAGCAGGAAGAAGAATCAACTCCCAAATCAGAGTTCTGAGAAGGAGGAAACATCAGCAAAGGAGCTCCTGAGCAGCCCTGGCCTGAGGCACACCAAGCAGCTCACCGGACACACAAAGCAAGGTCCATGCAAAACCCAGCCCTGCAGTCAGGAAATGCCAAAGTTAAAGGAGTGTCCCTGCTCTGCTGGCATGGCAGAGCTTCCAACACAGGGAACATCTTTACTGGGAAGTGTTTTGGGAACACAGAACTGTTCCAAGTGTACCCAGGAGTCCACCACCCTTCCCAGCCTCCCAGGGATGGAGCCATGGGCACACTGAGCCAGGGCATTTGAAGCCTGCAGAACATGGAGATCAGAGGGAAAGGGAATTCATTCCATTGTTTCTTTGGGCTGGCCAGGCAGAGTTCCCAAGTGCTGGGGGAAAAGTCCCAGACACCTGAGGATCCTCTCACTCAGAGAATGCTTCTGTCCCACCAGTCACGTCCCCCAGGACTAACCGGGCTCAGCACCAGACTGGTCTCACCTGAGGACCTGTCCCAGCACACCCCAAACACTGTCATTTGTGGAGCCACAAAGTATCACCTGGGCACAGCACGAGGTGAGAGCTCATCGTGGGCATCTGCAGCTCCCTGCAGGATCCAAAACCAGCAATTCATCCTGCGCTGCCCCAGGCAGGAGCCAAGGTGTGCTCCAGCAGCTCCTTAACAGCTCCTTCTGCTTCAAAAGCCTTTGATTTTCCTGAACACAGGAAGTGGCCACATTTAGCAGCACTGATCTTCTCCAAATTTTAAAAACAATCCTTAGAAGTGGTCTGAGTAAGTCATTTCCCAGTTCTCTGTGCGCTCCTCTCAGCAGCCAGATGGTGGCCAGGCCATCAGAGGATTCCTGAGGACAGTGGCAAACACCCTGGGGTGGCTGTGTGGCACCTGCAGAGGGAGCACACCACAGGGCCACCACCTGCAGCCCAACCCTGGGCATCTTTACAGGGATCTGCAGCCAGAGTCATCCCCCACAGGAGGACACACCGAGCCAAGGGGTGACGATCCCTGGGCACAGATCCACAGGGGCCATCCACCCTCACCCCTGCTGTGGGACCTGGGCTGACACGCACATCACACAGACCTGGGCACTCTGAAAGGCATCCCAGAGTTATTCTGCCTGGGAACACGGGGTGATGGTGGCAATGGTGAAGCAATCTCAGTGTCTAAATCCGGAGAGGTCCAAGGAGAACGTTCCCATCCCAGCAGGAAGGGCAGCAACAGCTCAGTGGTTGTTGCAGCACCATCTCATGTGGAGCTCTGCCATGAGCACAATCCCTAAAGCTGAGCACGTCCCACTGACACCAGGATTAGAAAAGGCAGCAGAGAGCCCCTGGCTGGTGCCAGCTGCTGTGGATAACACCGAGTGCTGTGGTGTTTGGCCTCAGCCTGCTGGCTCAGCCACAGCTCCCTGACGTTCCCTCCCCGGCTCACTGCAGCAGCGGAGGCGGAGGTGCGAGTTTGGAAGAGGGAGCTGAAATTCCAAACGCTGAGCATTCCACTGCATTCCAGCATTAACTTTGGCATTTCATAACCATGTCTTGAAAATAATAAAATTCAGGAGAACCCAAGTGAAACATCCACACGTGGCAATCAGGAGGCTGCTGATGATTTCCCACGTGTGCATTTGTAGGTGCCCTGCTCCCGGGGCGTTCCCCACCACTGCAGCACAGAAAGCTTCGATGCCAGTACTGAAAATGCACAACTATCCAAGGAATGTGTGACTCAAGGCCACGTGATGCCCATTGTGTCTGTCAGCCAGGCAAACCTCATCCACAGGTACACACTGTCATACTCAGCATGGATTTTTTCCTCCAGGAAAGGGGGCAGGGAGAACATCTGACCCCCACGGAGGTGCGTCATGTCACTCTCCAGGGCTCTGCCTTCAAAACAGCGGCCCCAGTGAGCACTGGAGTAACCTCAGCTCCTTGGCTCATCATCCTGGACAGCTCCAGGGGGATGATGAGCCTGGAACCCTCGGGTACCTGAGGGGTGGCCAGACCAGCCAGGAAAACTCCAGCCTTGGAAAGAGGCAGTGAACTCCTCACCTCCAGTGAGAGCTCCCGTGCACCACCACGGGGGCTGTGCTGTGATCTGCTCATGCCAAAGCCAATTCCTGCTGGATTCAGTCCATTTGCAGGGAATGTTTGCATATCAAATTCCCAGGACCCTGTTCTGGTCCTTGTAAAACTTCATCCAATGAAAATTCTGAATGCAGGAAACAGTAATCACTGCCATGGAGGTGAGCACATGCAAGGAAAAAATGGAAATTGTCTGTTCTGAGTTTTCCGGGCTGGTGGAGGTCCCTGAGGCCACGCTGAGGGCAGGACAAGCGCCGGAGCCACTGGAAGCTGTTAGTGATGCACAGAACATGCACTAGGTTCCACTGGGGGCTCCATCCCTCCCCAGAGAGCAGCCCCCACACATGCTCTGTAAGCAGTTAGTAAGTGCTACTCAAGGCTTACAACCAAAGCTGGTTTCCTCTAACAATGCACTACTTCAGCCTGTTCTGATCCCAGCCTCAGCCCTTCTCCTGTCATTCCATTCGTTGTGTTCCATGAGCTCCTCTCCTCACTGTGGATCCCCACAAAGGTGGCCGTGCCCACCCCACACACAGATCACTGTCTCACACCTCTATTTCCATGTCCCCTGCAGCCCCACAGCCACACCCTAGGAAGCAGCTCTCACTGGGAAAGGCTTGGCCAGCCCAGGATGGTGCTGAGGATCACTCCAGCACGCTGCCCTTAACCTGCTCCATGCCTGGATCCATCATGTTCCTACTGCTCCTTCTCCCAAGGAGTCCTTGCAGAGGTTTTCTTGCTGTACACTGGAGTAAGCTGCTAGCAGCACATTAAAGGCTGCTTCTCAGCACGGATCTTGCAAACACTCAGCCTTGCATTGCCCCTTTCCCCAGCTGTGCACAGGGAAAGGTGTGCAGGAGAAGCTCATAAATAAAAGTTACTACTAGTTGTATGTACCAAACACATTAATTAATTAATTAATTATTGCTACCATCAAACCTGATAATAAGCCCTATTTTTATAAAATCTAATCAGTGGCTACAATAAGATATAGGTTCCAGAGCATTCCTTAACTACAGATTCAGCTACACAGCAGAGTAGGAGCCCTCCCCCCATGTCTGAACCCTGAGCACATTTTAGTTTTGAAGCACCTTTGCAGCCCCAATTCCTTGAAGTGCAACGATTCCTTGGTTTGAGTGTCATGTTCCCTCAGAGCCCCTGCCCGGTGTCCAACCCTGAGGCCACGGGGAGGAGGGAATTCCACCACAGGTGAGGGTGCTGCCAGCTCTGCCCTCGGGGCAGGAAAGAGACGGGGGGGGGGGAAGCGCTCCATCCCTCATGCAACAAAGCTTTGAAGATATCCATAACCCCTCCCACCCCACGGTCTGAGCCCCCTGAAATCCAGCACCCTCTGGGCTCAACGTCTGGAGAGGGAAGAGAGGAGAAAGCCAGGAGTGTGTGCTGCTGGTCCTTGCTGCACAAGGCCCCGTGTGGGTGCGGGGCCGTGCTCCGTCACAGGCGGCGCTGGGCGCACTTACCGTCGGGAACCTCGTCCGGCCGCTTCCGCTTCTCGTAGATGACGATGATGACCACCAGGATGACGATCTCGGCCAGGATGCCCAGGAAGGGCCACAGCGGGGCCAGGTGGCTGCGCACGCGCAGGATGGTGGTGACCGACACGGAGCCCACCTGGTTGGTGGCGTTGCACTGGTACTCGCCGGGGTCCTCGTTGATCTGCAGGTTTGTGATGCTCAGCTCGGTGTAGTTCTCTTTGTTGGAAATGAAGAACCTGCCCGAGGAGTTGTTGATGTCCTGGCAAAGGGACGGGGATGGGAAACAGCAACAGCTTTGAGTTGTGGGGCTTTTGTGGCACAGGAACAGGAGCAGATTTGAGGGAGGAACCCTGCACTCAGGGGCCTGATCACTGCCAGCACTCAGCCACTCCTTAAAACCCCCAGCTCACACTCAGCAGGGAACACCCATCCCATCCTGTTATTTGCCTCACGTTTTGGCTCCGTGCATCCAAGTCTGCCTCCCTGGCAGGTCATACAGCAACAGGAAACAGCTGGGCTGGAGGGGTTAGAAATTCCCAGCTCTGCTATTCCCACTGCTGGTCACATCTTCCTGCTCACTACATCAGTGGCTACACAGAACAAACAGATCACCCAAGCTCCAATGGGGATAACTGCCACCCCCTCATGTTAAGTCTTGTGAGCTCAACCAGTAAAACTTGGAGGAATTTATAACCCAATGTGGTTTTAAATCATGTTTTGTAACTCAGATCTTACAGTTTGTAGCAAATTCCTGAAAATGGTTTTCAGGGTAAGTTAACTTTGCCTGGCAATGCAGTGAGCAACTATTTTCACATACCAATAATATAAACACCAATTTTATATTCACCCATCCATCCTCACTGCTGTCAAAAATATCCACCTTCAGTCACAGGTTGGACACAAAGCACCATTAACAACCCATCCCTGTCCTGGGGCTCTGGGCAGGGGGATCCTGACCCCATTCCTTACCTCAAACACCCCATTGACCTTCTTGCGCCAGACCCACTCGGGGTGGGGGAAGCCCACGGACTTGCAGTACATCAGGGCCTCCTGGCCCTCGTTTTTATTCTCACTCCTCTTGTGCCCAGTGATGTCAGGAGTGGCTACGAGACAACAGAGCAGCTTGTAAGTACAAACAGGCTTCTTCCACTCATCTGGACACAAATCCCTCCAAACTCCTGGAAGCTGTGCTTTCCCACACTGAGGGGACTTGTGGAAGAATTGTGTCTGTGTGTCCCCGGGAGCAGCCCTAAACCCTGTGCTCCTGTTTGTGTCCCTCAGTGCAGCCCTAAACCCTCTCCTAAACCCTCCTGAGCTCAGGCTGTGTCAGGGCAGTGCCTGGGCTGACCCCTGGCCCAGCAGATGGCCCCGGGCTGCAGGGCCCACCTTTAAAGCTGCAGCTCCTAATTACAGCACACGTGGCTCGCTGTGTGATGGCAGCTCTGAGCTGTTAATCCACACAAGGCCAGCCTGGCTGCTCCAGGAAACTGGAATTTCCTACTGGAGACTTCCCTGCACATGGATACACAGAGAGAGCAATTCCAGCTGCAAGCTGAGATAATGAAGGGAATTTCACAGCTCTGCTCAGAGGGAACAAAACATCTCGTGCCACCAGACAGCAGCTGGGCCTGCTCTTCCCAAAATTACAGCACAAATCTTTGGGAAAATGCCTGGCAGGCTGACCTGCTTCCAACTGTCCTATGTCAAAGGGGTTTTGATGCAGGAAGCATGCCATGCCTCAGGTTCTTCCTGGACAGTAACAACATTACCAAAATGACATTGTGAACCACAGGAAATGCATGGCTGTAGGAAACCCTGGGCTTCACCTGCACAGGCACATCAGGAGAGGCCCGAGGCATTCTCCAAGTGCCCATGGAAATTCCAACGGCATTTCCAACACAGCCCTGGCCTTTGCAGGAGTCCTGACCAAAGGATAAAGCTCAGCCAGATGCCAACTCATTAATTCCACGATGATGCCAAGCACAGCCATGACAGGTAAGAACAGGCCAAGAACAAACCCAGGGGGTTTATTTAAGAAAACTGACACCCAAAATGCATCTTTCCACATCAGACCTAAAAATGCTCTGAGAGCCATAAAACCTGACCTGAATGAAGGCTCCAGATCCAAACAATCCCCTGCTCTTGTACTAGAAGGAGCTGCCAGAAGCTGAAGGAAGCTGGGAAGAACATTCCCTGGCTGCCTGGTGATCCTGTGCCTGCAAGGGGCAGGAACACCTGGAGCAAACGGAGTTTCTGAGCTTCAGGCAGGAAATCAATCAGCTCTGGGGCTGGGTGTGCTGTGCTGCTCCAGCATCCCAGGCACTGCAGAGCCCCTGTCCCCAGCCCCGGAGAGGAAAATGACATTTATCCCAAATAACGAGGGCTCCAGAGGGCAGATTCATCTTGGGAGCTATTGAAAGGTGCCACCACTTCCCTGCTGGGCTCGAGATGTTCTTAAAGCAGGAGCTGGGTGAGCCTCCTGTGGCTTTTGCTTCCTGCAGGATGCCCAGGAGGGATCTCCTGCAGCCTATGGACATGGAGCCCAGTGGTGACAAAGCAGCAATCCCAGAGCTGGGGCTGCTGGAACGCCAGCAGGGACTGCACACTGGGAAATATTCCATGAGGAAAAGGAGCAATGGCAATCAGCAGCCCCCACAGGCTGGGTTCCAGTGCCATCCTGAGCACAGCTGAGCCTGGAAAAGGGGACAGGGACAGCACTCCCAGCTGGCACAGTGTGTGCCAGGGTGGGAAAGGAAAAGAGAAAGGAAAAGAGAAAGGAAAAGAGAAAGGAAAAGAGAAAGGAAAAGAGAAAGGAAAAGAGAAAGGAAAAGAGAAAGGAAAAGAGAAAGGAAAGGAAAGGAAAGGAAAGGAAAGGAAAGGAAAGGAAAGGAAAGGAAAGGAAAGGAAAGGAAAGGAAAGGAAAGGAAAGGAAAG